TATCAATAGAAGTTTTGTCGGCCAACCTTTATCTGTAGAAATTTCGTCGGCCAACCTTAATCTATAGAAATTTCGTCGGCCAACCCTTATCTATAAAAATTTCGTCGGCCAACCCTTATCTATTACTATAAACCTTAGTTGCTTTAGCAAATTCCCTTAACTATAGCTCATTATAGCCAATAATTCACCAGGACGTACAATACCACTCACTAGACATATATTGTGCACTATATAGCTCGCATTATAGCCAATAATTCACCAGGACCTACAATACCACATTTATTATATTTATATTTATATTTATTATATTTATGAATTGCAAATAAAAAGTATGAAACACTAAAGTTTTTCATCATTTATTCATTACTAGCAGGGCCCGGTGTTGCCCGTAAAATAAAAATTTGAAAGAAAAAAATGTTGAAAAAAAAATGTTGAATTTTTTTTTGCCTTTAACATCTCTCGGCCTCCCATGAGTGTTCACAAAAAATGTTAGCCCAATCGGTCCAGACGTTTGCCTGGCTATACACAACATATATATATACGAATGCCTTGTTCTATTATAAAGATTAAAATAAAAAGAAAATATGGCGTATTCCATCAGCAGTCAGCACGGTTCGTATTGAAAAATAATTGCTGTTCAGTTGGATAAGAAAAGACATGCAACACGGGCAGCCATAGTAGATTTAAATTTCCGATCCGGGTCAACCTTTCCGGTCCCAGTTTGTACTGCACTGCACGAACATTTGGTTATAAAAGAAAACAATCAACAGGACTAGCCGGTGCAACATCGTTGCGGTCAGGCTTTATGTTTCATAAAGGTTGAATTTACTTTTGCTAAATGGGCAAAGATGCGTGGCAAGATTATATTAAGTCAATTGTATTTCATTATGTTTTTGTATTCCTAATAATTATCAGAACACGTTTTCTTTGTTACAGAATGTTTAAAAGTAAATAAAAGTAATAATTATGCAGTCCATCAATCAATCACGAATCGTGTCAATCATTTGAACAATCCCACAAATAAAATTAAATTTGACGTAAGATTCAAATTTTTCATAACTCCTCTTATTAAAAAGAAACCCAAAAATATTTGAATTTCTAATATTTGACCGAAAAAAACTGATTTATATCATGGCGGTAGACGATTATATCAATACAATGAAGAAGACTTTTTAATTGAGTTTTAGTTTTAAACAAGTTTTTTTTTAAATTTGAATTTTACCAATACTTAAAGAAGAAGCTTTTTTAATTGTTTTAATGTTTGTGTGAATCCATGTTGATTTAAAGCAGAATATAAAGCTAAATGGAAATCGAAAATCGTCTACATTATCTATATATAAGTTTAGCTTGTCTGTTTGTTTTGGTGTTTGGGTGTCTGTTTGTTTGTATCCAATAAACGTCAAAACGGCTGAACCGATCGGGCCCAAGTTTTTTGTGGGGCCTCAATTAAAAGTTGAAATTGAAGACGGGCGCGAAGCGCCCTTAAAGCCTAGTATAATCGCTTACCTCTTTACTTGTGAATATAAGTCATATCCTCGTGAATTCTTACAATTTTACCTTGTCCTTCTGTCTAGATCAATGATATCCGATATTTTGTCAAGAATGTTTTATCTAATTTATTTAAAATTTAAATAAAATCACGAACCGAGAGATAACTTGGTTTAGAAAGAAGATATTTACCTCCTGTAATACTGCTTCAACTCTTTCAAGTCTATCTTTCAAAGAAATTTCTTTGTCCATTCTCACAAGAGCCTTAAAATCATATTCATTATTGAAAACGCACACAACTCTAAACTTTCAAACTGAGCGCCCATTTTCATATTTGAATAAATCAGCTCTGATAAAAGAGATTTTTTATTATATTGTCTTATTAACCTGGAATGTGAGATGCTCCTTAACAGTCAAAGTACCAAAGAATAGATCATCTTGTTGAACATACCCTAGCAAAATCGTAGATATATGAAGAACTGAACATTATTAAGTAAATTGTGGGTGATTAAGATTAAATAAAAAGCTTGTCCCAACAAACGATCCTTCAGACATCGTAACACTCACCATGTGTTTCAAATTTTAAAATCTTTAATTTTTTCATTTTTCGCCAATTATGTAATACTGTACAGGTGGGAAGTAGCACAAAAATTAAGGAAGAAATACCGTTTGAAGTTTGCCATTTTGGCTTAGTTGTTATTCTTTGAATTTAAAGATATTTTTGAATTTCAGTTTGGTCTGAAAAATGCAAATCTTCTAAACAAATCTGAAAAATCCTCAGTTATTCTTAATTCATGGATAATTGAGCTCAGGTTACAATGCTGGAGAGTTTCCTCCTTACTTTAGAGTACCACAAAAAAGGGTCAGAATAGCTTCAGGCCTCGTCTTTTTGTTGACATTGGGAAAAAAGGAATTGAGTCTTTGTCATAAACTTTGATTTTCTAATCCTGATAACTTTGCATTTCACTGTCGTAGATCTTTGATATTTCAAACTATGAATTATGTTAAATCAATAATCTAAGTTTGAAATATCAAAGATGTTCACCCATAGTGAGCGAAGAATAATAATTAGAAAATTTGTGTTTGTGGCAAAAACTCAATTCCTTTCCCAAACTAACCTGCCTGCTTTATGTCATGTGAGTAGAATTTATATATATTTATAATTTTGGTTTGATAACAAACCCTCATTTAAATTTAATGAAATAAAATTAAATGCGTTAAATTTTTTTGACTTATTCCATTGTCAATAATAATTGTCAAGCAAGCCACCCTGGCACCCTGTATAAGAAATGTATAAAAAACTTACCGGAAAGCGCTGTCAAATTATTCGGAGTCACAATTGACTCATTTGCGATTCGTTTTCCAGAAATCTGAAAATATTGAATAGTTATAAAATGTATTTTATAAATATTGAATAGTTATAATGTATTTTATAAATGTATTTTATGAATGTATTTTATGAATGTATTTTATAAATGTATTTTGTGAATTTTTCGAATAACAAGTATACAAATAATCTTAGAGAATATTTTTTTTAATTAAAACTAAAATTAAGCGAAGCTAATTTTTTAAATTAAAAGCTTCTCTTCATATCTGTTTATGCTGGGCTTGTATAACTACTGCCTGAGTCCTCAAGCATACTGCCTAAGTGTCCTATTTTCCCAATACCAAACTAAATTTATATTTAGACCTACTTCCAGTCATTGGATTTTAAAATTTAATGGCTTTGACCAAAGCAAGCAGATTGCACATTTTTTGCAAAGAAATTTTGCACAGATTTCTACACATGCCATTAAAGGGAATTTGCACATTTTCAGTTGTACGTAAATACACATTTAGATTTTAAAATTTTGAAAATGTTTTTGCACATTTAAATTCGCTGGGTCAAGGGCTTTTCAAAAATGTATAATTGTTGCAATTTGCACAATTTTTTTTGGACATTTTTGTTTAATATCTCGATTTTGCAATAAATCTTTGGATTTTTTGCAAATTTGTCATTTTTTGCAGAATATTGAGGTAGAGTCCAAGAACTTTCCAAAAACCTATCAAATGTTATAGATTTGTATCACAATAAGAAAATAGAGGGGGGGGGGGTAATTTGACCCTCCCCCAGGGAACCAGAGATGACACCAGACGTCAGGGTAAATAGGGTTAACAGCTTGATATAAATCAGAATGAAATTAAAGGTAATCTTCATTGTATTGATGTAATCGCCTAGCATTAATTTGAATTAAACGAATTTATATAACATTATTAACCTCTAAAAGTTTGATAGGAAAGGAGATTGAAAAATTTAGAAATCTTTTCAAGAATGTTTTATCATTAATTCAGATAACCTTACAGACGGTTTCCTAATACAAAGTTTATATTTGTAGGTTTTAGCTTTCCGAGAATCTTGAAATATTATTGCAGTATTTACTCTTCTTTTATTGCAGATGTTAATCTCATATATCTCCGATGAAATTTTTCACAAAATATGTTTGATATTCTTAATGGAACACTTTGACGCTTGCTGCGGGCAGGGCCCTCATATTCGGTTCAAATGCTTTCAAGAATATAGCAAAGAATGCTAAAGAACTTGACTTAAATGGTTAATGGCCGTTTTTAAAAGTGATTCTTCATTTGTAGAGTAGTGTGTCAGATTCACAAAGATGGACTGAAATTTGTTGGGGACACTCATGGGTAGCCTGGGGGTGACAAAGGCTAAAAATATCGATTTTTTTCTAACATTTTAATCTTTTAAAAAAAAAAAAATTTCCACGGGGAAACACCGGGTTCTTCAGCTAGTATTTCATAAAAATTCATACTTACTTTCTCTATGTCACCGAAAATCAATATTTATTTTGAAATGTTTTAAGTATTAATTTTAAAATACTCTCCGCTTTTATATAAAACTAATCGGTTTTCAAGATATATACACTCAGAGCTCTCTGTCCTCAATGAATAGTCAAAGGTTTAAAGTGTACCATTTTAAATCGGGCATGGTCATCTTTGCGTGGAAATCGAAATTTACGCTTCCAGAAATATAAACTACCTTGAGATCTCCCAGATTTCTGAATAGAAGTGTATTTAGTAGAGTTGATTTACCAGCTCCACTAGCTCCCATTATAGCCAATAATTCACCAGGACGTACAATACCACTCACTAGACATATATTGTACACTATATAGCTCCCATTATAGCCAATAATTCACCAGGGCGTATAATACCACTCACTAGACATATATTGTACACTATATAGCTCCCATTATTGCCAATTATTCACCAGGACATACAATACCATTCACAAGACGTAAAATGTACACTAGCTTGGGAATACAGCTTTGGCTGAGGTTTTCCCAATTAAAGCCAACCCACTCAACTTAGAAGCTTTAAACCAGGCTAGGAATATCCCTGGATGGATCTTTTATTTTTTCTGATAATAATCTAATCATAAGTTTGGGCCCTTCTAAAACACAAATTCTAAAATAATATATGAAACATTTCTGGATATAAATATTCTTATTTACTTGTTTTCTCTTTCTGTAGCCATGATGTGAAGACAACATGACAGGTGGCAAAATTCTCTTCTCTTTTTACTAATTCAATTTCTTTTGAGGGCAAGCCTGTCCAACGAGGATATAGTATATAGAGTGATTATATACTAAAATCCTTTATTTATTGTACGGTACCCTTTAGTTTTTAACAATGATTCTGAACTCAAAAAGAAAGGGAACTTCGAAGTTTAATGCCATTTTGAATGGGGGGAGGGNTACGTGAAGCCCAGTGGGGGGAGGTGTACATTTTCCCTTTCGACGTTCCATTGGAAAAGTCGTTCTTGAAAATTAGATTAGGCCACAAACTCTTACTTGCATATATTAGTAAACCGTCTTAAATCTATAACAAGGCAAGCAAGGTAAACAGGTAGATCAGCCCCCTGGACCTGTCTAATGTAATTGCTTACCATTGCTAAGAATATTCTTGGGTGGTGTTCCTTTTCCTTTGATTAAGCCACAACATCTACTTCCATCCTTTCCTCTAATAATATTTTTAAAAATATTAAATTTATGCTGGTAGTAAAAGTATATCAAGAAAAAAAATTCAACCGAAATTTAGCATTTCGAAACTTATTTCAAAGGTTGAAGAATATAAAATCAAGAACAAGTTGAAAAAGAACAGTTCTCCGGATGCACTTTGTGCAAAATTAATGATTTTTTCCATCGATGGGATAAAGTTTGAATAAGTTCATCAACAAATAATTTCAATCAACGTCAAGAAAGAAATTATATTAAAAATTTAAAGCATTAGTAAATAGTGGGAAATACGTAAATTTATATTTCTTGACTGATTTTATGTTCCAAACAGCTATCTCTCTGTAATGATCAAATGTCAAAATCATCGTATCATCAATCAGACAGAAAATTTGAAATTCGCGTCCGCCAATTTTAATTTTATTTGATTTTATTAACTGTTTAACTATAATTAACTGTTTAACTATAATTAACTGTTTAACTATAATTAACTGTTTAACTATAATTAACTGTTTAACTATAATTAAGTGTTTAACTATTTTAGCAAAAATGTCAAATCCAAATGCACCAGCCTAAATATACAAAACATGTGGAAAGGGTCGTCTTTAAACCGCTGAACATCGTCCATTTGACGTTTTTTAAAAAATCTGACTGAGTTTAAAAATGGCAAAAAAAAGATTCTCAAATCTCTTTGTGAAATGTATTAAATTGCAGCTAATATTTTAACCCTTAGTTTTACCTTGTTGACACACTCAGATTGCTCCAGGAAAAAGTGATTCCCTTTTCAACCTTAAACAAAAAATTCAAATTTATAAGTTTTCTAGCAGAATTTTAGGTTTTTATATTGCTTAGAAACTTAGAGGCTCACCTTCAAACTGACAGATGCATTTCGCGGCTCGGAAAAAACTCCTCCTGACTAAAAAAGATATTTAAATTTGATCTCATATTTTAGTCAAATTCCTTTAATTTAAAACTTATAGAAAACATTTACTTACTAACATTAGTGATAGAAGACCTTAAACTGTCAAAACAGTTTTATTTTAAAATGATTTATTATTTGTACTGTAAAATAACTGGCTTCGTGGATTTGTATTCATATTATTTGGTAGATTTACGAAATTTAGAAGTACTTACAAAATTTGATATTATTTTTGCTATATGCTTTGATTACACAAATAGTTAATATTAAAGTTCATATTTTTACTTTAACCCTATTAAGGCTGGGGCTGGTCTGAACTATTTGTAATCTGGGGACCTTATATATGCAAAGGTAAAGGGTTGCAATGCATATTTAGATTACAATTTTTGAGGGTCAGCTTATTGAAGAAAAAAATTCGACCGCTGACTTTAATAGCTCAGGTACCAGAATTTTTTTTAAGTCAAGAAAGGTCGGAGAAATGGAAAAAACACATATTTTGTTTTCACAAATGTTTAAATGTGACACATGTTTCTATATTCATTTTTTAAAATATAGGTAAAGATATTTAGCTAAAAAGATAAAAAACAATACCAAATATTGAAATTTATTTTCCTATTTTAAAAAAATCAATGTGATGTGTCACCCCCGGCCCCCCCAGTCTCTTCAGGATAAGAAATCTTTACTCTTTAATTACCGAAAATAAACTGGTTGTTACCTTCTCTATTTTGCAAATAATATGATCGTTTGAGGTTACTAGGCCAGGATTATCCATATCTTTACTTTATGAAAATATGAGCTATGCAAAATTTAAATCGAAATTTTAGCATCAATTAGGTTGCCCTTCAATTTTGGAGGGAAACCCTGGTCGCCGATTTGCTACTTTTTTTAATTAATATTTCGCTTACAACTTGTTTTTACGGGTGGCGCTGGATTTTCGAATATTCCTGGAAAATATGAAAATTTCGTCTTTTATATCAAAAATCCGCGAAACAGGAATGTTTTCAAGGAAACTCTCAAATCATAAAAAAAAATATTATGAAACATCTACTACATACGAATGCGTCAAAAAAATCAATGATTAAAAGTTGTAATATCTGAAAGATTTGTTTGGAATTAAATTGATTTTTTAAAGATCCGAATCGTATATTTTAACTTTCTCAATTTGTATGGACGCTACGATTTTTCGGTATGAGTCGTTTTTAACAATTTTCTCCTTATAGACGCAACAGATTAATAGCAATCACCATCAAATATTTTTCGACGTAAGCTATACCCCTTTCATTGTTAGCGAATACTCCCTTAAACCTGACATGTTTTTGTCTACTAAAGTGTGAAATTCTAGTGATTTCTTATTTCATACTTGTCTGCTTGAAAATATTTACTTTTCTGTAACGAAAAAATATTATCTTTAACTTTGATTTGTTTCAGAATATCATGATACGTTGAATGAGAGTCGTGACCTAAACTAAAGTTAATAATCAGAGCTTTATAATACACCCTCATCCTTATCTCACACACTCAGAATATCAAAAATTATATAATATTGTTATTACACAAAAAAGTTTTACAGAACACTAGCAAATTAAACTTTTAAAAAGAAAAATTATTTTTTTCAGGGTAATTTAATTATATTTTTTTTCTTCTTCCGTATTTACTATTTTACGATAGCTTAATAAATTAGGTTTAACCTGTAGTAATTAATACTGATAAGTATTGGCCGCTTGTTCACGGTTTATTTAATTTTAAATCAATAAAATTCAAATTCAATTCAAATGCCTTTCTAGATCAATTTTAAGTATATTATTTCTCATATCTTTGATCTATGAAGATACCAGAAGTCCAAGCAAACTTTTTAATTTTATCGAGATTCCCTATTTTTCAATTTCATGCTAATCCATTTATAAAATGAACCTCTCAGTAACTTACCATCGAAAAAACACCGATTTTTGTGATTGGTAAAATTTTATATTCTTCAAATAATCGCCGAGGACATTTTTTTTAATGGATTACATTATAAGATCAAGATGTACATTACCCAATTAATTTATTTAAGAAATAAAATACTGCTTGCGAAAAAATAATGATTTTCATGATAAAATGAATCTGAAATATTAAAAATTATAATATTTGAATACGCCAAATTTTAAGCATTGTACATACGCGACTGCCATCAATTAGTAACCTTTGAAAACCCTTTTTTGGATGCCTAACAATCTGAATAGAAGATTTCATTGTTTTTTTTTGTAGTAGAAATGTATTAATCAAATCAATTGTCTTCCAAATTGTCTCTGCTGCATATAATTGTCTGCCACTTTTATTGACAACTATAGAAAAAAAAATTGAAATATAAAAAAAAAAAATTTTTCAGACAAAGTATTTATTTTTAATTGAACAAGTAACTTTTTACAAAGAAATTTCGTCGGCCAACTCTTATCTATCGAAATTTTGGCGGCCAACCCTTATCTCTTGAAATTTCGGCGGCACACTATTATCAATAGAAGTTTTGTCGGCCAACCTTTATCTGTAGAAATTTCGTCGGCCAACCTTAATCTATAGAAATTTCGTCGGCCAACCCTTATCTATAAAAATTTCGTCGGCCAACCCTTATCTATTACTATAAACCTTAGTTGCTTTAGCAAATTCCCTTAACTATAGCCTAGAGACTAGTTTTTTTTTATAGAACAAGCCTTCGCGCCCATCTTCTAAATTAATTGTGAACATGTTCTCTTTGTGTACATCGTAAAACAAAACAAAAATAATTCGCGGATTTTCACAAAAAATTTCGTGGATTTTCAAAATTTTCAAAAATTTAATGAAGATCGAATTTTGATGGAGACAAATATTTGAAATTTTGATCATTCATAAACCTTCCTTGGGGTCCCTAGATGTCCCACTAAAAATTTGGGCCCGATCGGTTCAGCCGTTTTGACGTTTATTGGATACAAACAAACAGACAGACAAACAGACAGACAATCCAAATTTATGTATAGATTGCACAAAAGCTTCAAAAGCTTCAAACTGAGGGGAAGCATGTAACATTCACAATTATGGAAATCCAATTAAGAAAAAAATTATGCAAGGGTGCGGAAGAATATTTCACCAAAAAACTCCTGAAAATTAAAATTTTAGCATGTTTATGATAATATTATAGTTGAATAATATGAAATAGAGAAAGTTGGTTTGGTCTAATGTCTGTTTATGAAAATTGTCGTACAAGCAAAAAAAAAATTGAAAATAAAAAAATATATTCTTAAATTTAAAATCTAAGACAGTTGTGTATTTGTACTGTTCCATTGCTGATGAACAGAACCATTGTTCCTATACTCTTTAATCCTTTTATTACAAAAGAAAACTAATAAGAAAGAACTACAAAAGCTGTAAACAACTGACGAACCAAGAATGAAGAATTGCTGCAGGTAAATATATTTATTTCAATTAACATGTTGGCAGTATTCCTTATATTTAAAACGTTTATGTTACACAATAAACATCACTTTAAAGTTGACACGTCTTACGACGTTATAAAACTATAAGCTAATGTGGATATTTTACAAGCGCATATAGAGTTGAACACAGATCAATTAAAGAACTTACTGACTAGATATTAGACACCCGGAATGGAGCTAGTACAGAGATAAACAAAGATTATTTATCTGTCTCATTTTGAGAAATTTGCGATGTGAAAAAAATCTCTGCATAAAGAAATGAACAAAAGTTGAAGTGTATAAAGCGTATTATGTTATCATTGAATTACGCCAGTCCAGATTCTGCTGTAGGATTGTAGCACCATTTCTTTACCACAGGTTTCTTTACTTTCCGGGGATTTTTCTTTGATCTAAAATAGAATATTCATGTTTAATAAATCCTCCTTTTAGGTTCCATTGCATCACTTTTTGTATGTTTCATTCATTTGCAAACATGTTCCTTTTGTATGATATCAAACAATAACAATACCATTTTTCATATTTTTTAGTTTTGTGGATTTCTTTTCTGTAAGACTGCCCCGGGTCATGAAAAAAACAAATTTTCGTGCAATAATGCGCAAATTTGCTTGCGTACTCCGCAAGATTTTGCACGGAACTATCAACATATTTCGTTTTTTACACAAGGAAGTGTAAAAAAAAAAAATTGCGGCGTATGAAAAAATGTACGCACGCAAAGTGTAAAGTTTACGCGCAACGATTTTCCATTCCGCTGGAAACCCCAGTAAGGTTCAATAAATAAAAGGTCCTGATCGGTTCAGTCGTTTTAACGTTAAATTTAATAAAAATAAAACCAATTTCTAAAAACACATTATCAAACCTTGTGCAAACTTCCTTTGGTACATCAACACACTCCTCTGATGGTTCCAGTTTAGGAACCAGTTTTGTCACATGCTCACAGGTTCTTTGGGGTTCTAGAGTACACTCCTCCTTAGGGGCATCTTGTACCACGGTCTGGGTTTTGTCAAAACACTGTTCAGAGCCCTTAAACATTATTAACCGTTTTAATATTTAAACATTATTAACCGTTTTAATATTTAAACATTATTAACCGTTTTAATATTTAAACATCCTTAACCGTTTTAATATTTAAACATTATTAACCGTTTTAATATTTAAAAGTGAGAGTTTTTGCGAAGATTTATAAATCGATCAAATCAAATCTGTTTTTTTTTCAAAAGACAAGGTTTAAGTAAACCAAAGGGCTAAGGCCGTTTATTGCAGAAACTTATATAATGTCCTCGTTTTTCATTAAAATAAAGATGGAGGCTGCTAACTTTGTCGGCAGCAGACATTATTGTTAGAATCTTAAAAGCAATTAAGTTGGTCCAAGCCAAGGTACTAATGCAAGGAAAGTTGATTATAGTTGCGTATACTCTGCGTTCATTTTGAAACCAGTTCTCTCTGGGCAGAATTTGTAAACAAGAATAGATGTATCAGTGTTCGTCTAGTATCCAAGGAGGATAAAAGCATTTAATTTTGATAATTTTGAAAAGTTACCAAATATTTCATAGATTATTTTTGTGAAAATGGATTCCATGTCAGGCTGTGACATCCGTCTTGTGTTTACTTTTCCGCCCAAAGACAGTACACTGCAGTACAAAAAAATGCGTACACTTCTGAAATAACTTTCCTTGCATTAGTATCTTGGTCCAAGCTAACTGAGATATTTGTATTTAGACCGTAAGCTATGTCGTTTTCATATTTCCTAAAGTGTGTGAAGGTCAAAATGAAGATTTTTAATATGTTTCCAAAGAGATTTTCAAGATCTGCAAAGAGTTCTTCAAAATCTGCAAATTTGCAAAAACTCAAGGATATCTAAAAAACTGTTAATTTGTGCGGTTTAATATTATTGTAAAATGTGCATTGTTCTAAGTTTAAAATTCCATGGTTCCTTTATCTTTTCAGTAATTTTATGAGGTATTTTATCACCAAAACTACCACTACAGAGGCTTGAAGAAGGAAATAAAGAAGAAATTTAGGAGTAAGATATCTTCAATATTTTCATTTCCTACTGAAACAATTTACATTTCAACACTCTACACTCAGTAATGGTAAAATCATTTTAATGTTTTGAAGTTTTTTTTCAATTTTTAATAGATGACATGTATAATCATATCTATACATTTTTGTGATCAAACCATATATAAGGACTGTTAGTGTAAGTGTTAATTTATCCTAGTACCATCAGGAACGGTATGCAAATCTTCAAATTCTTTTTTAAAAATTTAGATATTTAGGCACATTTAATTTTCCTATTTTTCAATGCTACGATTGCGAGTTATAGCTGAAAAGCTAATTTTGATAAAGAGAAAGATTCGGGAGTCTTTGCCACAAACTCAAATGTGCTAATCCCTATATCTGTGCAACCTGATGGTGTAAATTTTTTATATTTTAACTTATATTATTGCAAAGACCAAATTCCTTTTCTCAGTGATATGAATATTATTACATTTTAATCATAAACGGCTGGACCGAATTGGAAAAATTTCTTTTAGGGAACCCATGGGTACCCTGGGGGGTAATACAGGCTATAAATATATATTTTTTCTTAATCAAGTTATTTTTTCAAAAATAATTTTTTTTAATTTGATGTTTTTTAAATTCCACGGGCAACGCCGAGGACTTCAGCTAGTATCATAATACATATTTAATTATGATTATGATTTATTTTCCAAAAAGTACCTCTCTAAATCCACATCCAGCAGGGGCACAGATCTCTTTAGGTTCCTTGTGACAGGCGGTAATAGGTGTAAACTTCTTCACTTCCTTCTTAGATACGGAGCAAACCTAGATAGATAGATAGTTAGGTATATCTACTATAAGATACGGAGGAAACCTAGATAGATAGATGGTTAGGTTTATCTACAATAAGATACGGAGCAAATCGGGATAGATAGATGGTTAGGTATATCTACTATAAGATACGGAGCAAACCTAGATAGATAGATAGTTAGGTTTATCTACTATAAGATACGGAGCAAACCTAGATAGATATATGGTTAGGTATATCTACTATAAGATACGGAGCAAACCTGGATAGATAGATGGTTAGGTATATCTACTATAAGATACGGAGCAAACCTGGATAGATAGATGGTTAGGTTTAGGTTTATCTTCTATATTTACGCAGGTAATTTAGGTGTACTTTTACTGTCATACTGAAAAATATGTAAGCTGACCCCATCCCCTCAACCTTAAGTACACCTTGCACGCCTTGGATAGATATGTATAAATCAACATTTATAAAGTTGTAATTTCTGTTTGTTTGTTTTGTATGTCCGATCATAACTCAAGAAACCCTTGACCGATTTGCCTCAATTTTTTATAGGAAAATTTTGGAGAACCATGGTAATGTTTAGCTTGGTTTTGAAATCAGAGTTTGTGGCAAAGACTCAGTTCCATTGAAATAAATTATCTGATTAAGACGTACCTCTTTCGGCCAAACTGAGCATTGTTGTTCCGAGGTATATCCTGAAACTAAATCTTCACAGTTTTCTTCTTTTATAGTCTGGCATTCAACTACATCATCTTCAACCTACAAATAATATAGTAAACAGATAAAGAGTATAGCTGTGTACTTGAGTACAAGCGGAATCAGGTAGAGTATAGGTGTACTTGAGTACAAACGGAATCAGGTAGAGTATAGGTGTACTTGAGTACAAACGGAATCAGGTAGAGTAAAGGTGTACTTGAGTACAAACGGAATCAGGTAGAGTATAGGTGTACTTGAGTACAAGCGGAATCAGGTAGAGTATAGGTATACTTGAGTACAAGCGGAATCAGGTAGAGTATAGGTGTCCTTGAGTACAAACGGAATCAGGTAGAGTATAGGTGTACTTGAGTACAAGCGGAATCAGGTAGAGTATAGCTGTGTACTTGAGTACAAGAGGAATCAGGTAGAGTATAGGTGTACTTGAGTACAAACGGAATCAGGTAGAGTATAGGTGTACTTGAGTACAAGCGGAATCAGGTAGAGTATAGGTGTACTTGAGTACATGCATGAAATGGGGGGACGGGGTGGGGTGTGAAGGGGATATAATACAAATAGACATTTTGAGTTTTTCTTTTTTCTAGAACTTCTACTTTTTAACCCTGTGATTTGCATGATTTGATTAAAGGAAACTATTCGTTGTAAGTTAAAAACACACCCTCAGCTAAGCGTTCGGTGTGTACTGCAGTGATTTGCACTATTTTGACCGAAGAAATAGTTGGTTTTAATATAAGAGTCGTAATCATTGTATTGATATAAACGCCGACCACTGTTTGAAAAAATGTAAAAACTTACATCATGTTCCTCATTTTTTGTCCAACACTCAGATTCATACTGGGTAGAGCATAATTCAGGTCCTTGGACGTTGCAGTCTTTCTCTAAAGGGGTCCGACAAACCTAAACATTTTTTATTAAAGGAAATGGACAAACCTAACCATTTTTTATTAAAGGGAATGGACAAACCTAAAAATTTTTTTATTAAAGGGAATGGACAAACCTAAACATTATTATTAAAGGGAATGGACAAACCTAAGCATTTCTTATTAAAGGGAATCGACAAACCTAACCATTTTTTATTAAAGGGAATGGAAAAACCTAAACATTATTATTAAAGGGAATCGACAAACCTAAACATTATTATTAAAGGGAAAGGACAAGCCTAAACATTTTTCATTAAAGGGAATGGACAAACCTAAAATTTTTTATTAAAGGGACTGTAAGCGTAATTTTCAGTTACTTTCTCTGCAAAGATGACCATCTATTTTTATTCAATGGTACCCTGAAAGGCTTAATCTGATCAAGTATAAATTATATGTTTTTGTTGATTTAACAATTGCGTATTTTCATTTGCGGTTTCTCAGCAAACGTTAATGGTACATTTCTTGCGAATAAGAAGCAATGGAGAAACTCTGCAGAATTAAACAATTATTGAGTTGAGAATCGGTCATTGTCATCTTTGCATAACTCCTATATGCCGGGTCCATTAGCGCCTGATCCAATCAGGGTTCAGTCATGAGTTTGTTGCCCATTCTGAACCAATAGAAATTGCATGGCGGTAACATCTATCTTTCTATCTATCTAATTATCTAATTAGAAATAAATCCTTCAATCGGCGCTAAAACAGTAAATGGAAATATTTACTTCTACTGAAACTATGGTGGCGGATGGATCGAGGTTCACTTGAAATTGCGCGTACAGTCCCTTTAATACTTTTAAGTTCTAAAATTTTAATAAAAATTTCCGGGAAATTAATATTGAACTAGATTGTATAAATATCAATGTATTCTGTAGTATAATGTATTCTATAAAAACATTATAGAAAAAATTAATATATAAATTCCATTTCGTTATAAAAAAAAGTATATGTACAGAAAATGTATAGAATTTTTTTTCATCATAAAAAAAATATTAGATATTAGATTTTCAAATTCAGATTTTACATTTTACTTTGAAAAAATAGATTAATGGACTATATCAGTCATACACAGATAAAATTGTTAATTGTTCATAAAATTATATACAACGTTTAGTCCTAAAAAAGAATTACTTGCAAAAAATCAGAATCAGTTTTTTTACAGAATAATTGGTGAGGTAAACATGGATCTATCACAAAGTTTTTGAAAAAAGCCAGAAAAACTAGGGAAAATTTTTTTTCCCACCTTTGGTTTTTGGATTCAAAACTAGATCACAATTCAGCTCTGCATGCAAAAATCAAAGAGAAATCTTTAGTAATAGAGTCCAGAATTGAGTTTCCCAACCCAATGTGATGACTTTAGACAGGGGAAAAAATCAGTGGAAAAATTATTTTTTCCCCACTTTGGTTTTTGATTAAAAAACTAGATCACAATTCAGGTCTGCATGCAAAAATCATCATTTGATTTATAGTTATAACGGAAAATCATTGTTTGTAAAGTGAAAGGCATAGAGTCTATTTGAAATTATCATTGATCAATTATGAAACCAGCCAATTTCATAATTTGGTTTTCTTTTAATAATAACTTTAGATTTTCTATAAAATGATGTTCCAGGGCCCAATAGGTTATAACACAAATATGTGAAGTACACCTGCAGTATGGAATCAGTACAACAAAATGGCCGTTTTACACTTTTCTCTAGTAAATTTCACTCTAATATATAGACTATTCTAACATGTGGGCATAGAGAATAGAATATATAGAGAGGAATTAAAAGAATCTCTCGGTATGAATTTTTTTCAGTCCCTTTCAGCCTAAAAGGGAGTTCAAAGTGTACAAATCATATAAATGTTCACAAATTATATGCAGTAGAGCACATTAATACAGTATGTTCCCTAGACTATCCATTTCAATTTCGAATTGTTTAAAGTGTTAAATAAACTTTATAATGAATTAGGTGAAGAAAAACATCATTTGATTTTTAGTTATAACGGAACATCATCGTTTGTAAAGTGGAAGGCATAGAGTCTATGTGAAATGATCATTGGTCAATTATGAAACCAGCCTATTTCATAATTTGGTTTTCTTTTAACAATAATTTTAGATTTTCTAAAAAATGATATTCCAGGGCCCAACAGGTTATATAGCATAAATATGTGAAGTACACCTGCAATATGGAAACAGTACAACAAAATGGCCGTTTTACACTTTTCCAGTAAATTCCTCTCTATATATTCTATTCTCTATGCATCTGGGGCACGGTAAACTAACGTTATAGAAAATCAGAGTTAGTTGCAAAGAATCAATTCCTAAAATCGTAAAATCCAAACTAGAGGACTAAAAAGGTGCAAAGTAATGTTGGCTAGTTTGCTGTGAGAGAAGAGAGATACTTTTATAAAATATATGAATAAAATCTAATGTTAGTTTCTGTAACAATTCTGCAGAGTATAATGGTTCTAATTTAACATAAAAAATTAATGTGGCTAAATGCCAGGTTGAAATATATTATTCACAAAACCATTCTGTTTTAGTATACACGTGTTCAGGTTTTAAACAAATTGTTTTGATTGTTAAAACAAATAAGAACAATTCTCCAGCAACTTATCTTTTTGTGTGTGTGAAATACAAACTGAGCTGAAACCTTTAGAAAGGTGGATATCGAGATTAATGCTTGATCCTTTCTTTTTCTTAATATCGAGACTAACCTAATCTTGTACTTGTATACTAAAAAGTGAATAAAAATTCAACCAATCATATCAGAGTCGCGTAGAAGCCGCCATTTAAGATTATATACAGAAATGAAAGGAACTCTCCAATTTAGAAAAACCGGTTTTTGATTTTTTGCTACTATATCCAAGAAAGAACGGGTTAAGAAGAAAATCAAAAATGTGTCCATTGGATACTCAGGTTTAGTAATCGGGATTAAGGATATCCCATTCTAAAGTTTTCAGCTCTGGATGACTGGGTTGCAAAGTCATATCTGTATAGACTTCTTTTTAAAGGGAATGACCGGCAAGGAGGGGTATTTGATCTATTATGAGTTATGACATACATTTACAATATATATCAGGATTCTTTTGATACTAATTAGATGCTTGTACGTTGTATGATTGCTAAGTAAGAATGCAACACAATTTTTCAATATATTACCATAGGTGGACTTACTAGGAGGTTCACTTATATGGAACGTAAATTTTATAATTATCTAATAACCCGCGTAACAACAATTCTGCACAAAGGAACTGAGTTTTTGCCACAAACTCAAATATTCTTATCCCTATATCTTGGCAACCCAATGTCGTAGACCTTAGTTTTTTTAAACTATTAATTTTGTTAAATCAAATAATGTCAGTTTGAAATATCAAAGGGTTAAACCCACTCGTTGCATAGATATAGAAATTAGAAAATTTGAGGTTGAGAAAACGAAAAAGAATAGGAACAACACTAATCATTTAATTTAATATCTTAAATGTTTAATTTCTGTTAATCAGATTTTAATATATTTTTATCATAAGATTATTATAGGAAACATTACTTGAACTGTTTGATTAAACGCAATTGTTTCGTATTCAATATAACAAGATTTCCTAGATTTTAAAGTCAATTAATTTTTCAGAGTTTTATGCCACAGCATGTTTTTCCATAGTAAGTGGCTGTTATTTTAATCAGAAAAGGTTCTATACAGGGAGTGTTCACGAACACTCCCAAAATAGGGACCGTAACCGTAATTTCAAGTAACCTTCCATACTAAAAGACGGCAATGCCCGATTTACAACGATACCCTTAAAATTCTTTGTCAGATCAAGTATGAATTAGATATCCATGTTTTTTTTTTTTTCTAAACTGTTTTTTTTTTTGTTTCTCTGCGAAAGCAATTTGCGCATTTCTTACTTTTAAGAAACAATGGAGAAACTCAATGGAGGGTCACTTAAAATTACGCTTTCAGTCCCTTTATAATGACAATTATTATTTTTATATATTAAACGAGTCTGAATATAAAATAACATTGTTAATCAATCTTAATATACTTTTCAGCAAAAATATGTTATAAATATGTATGGAAAGGAAATTAAAAATTGCTTTAAAAAAAATCTTAAAAGTTAGGAAGAAAAAAATTAATTGACAAAATTCCTAAAATTCTCGTTACACTCCTCCTCTTGTTGGGAGAGATATGTTGTGATATAGGTGGTGTGGCATCTCCTAAACAAATGAGAAATATTTAAGTGATTTTCATTAGTTGATCAAATATTTGTATTTTGTATCAAATATCTCAACTACGCTCTTGAAAAATGTTTAGAGTTTATTTTTTTCTCGAAACTAAAACGCAAATGATCCAAAGTAAACACATTTTTAAAATCAATTTAAGTAATAAGTTTCATTAACACTTTTTTCGGGATTATATGATTTTTTACTCATTTTTTATTTAATTATCTTTTGTTTAAAAAGGAAAGGTTCGTAGGATTTGGTAAAAAAGAAACTTCAGAAGAAATTTATCAAAAAGAAAATAAGAAAATATCTTGATCTCTTAATTAAATGAAATTTTAGAAAACTAGAATTTGATAAATCTTTAGAAATTAGATCAAGAAAAGAGGTTTTCTCCAAAAAAAACTTTAATCCATCAAGTATGATCCATGATCCATGATCCATGATCCATGATTCATGATTCATGATCCATTATCCATAATACATGATTTATGATTCAGGATTCAGGATTCATGATCCATGATCCATGATCCATTATCCATGATCCATGATCCATGATCCATGATCCATGATCCACGGTTCATGATCCATGATCCATGATCCATGATCCATGATCCATGATTCATGATTCATGATCCATGATCCATGATTCAGGATTCAGGATTCAGGATTCAGGATTAATGATCTATGATCCGAGATTCATGAACCATGATCAATATGAACCTTGATCCATGATCCATGATCCATTATTTAAGATCAATTATTTATGATCCATGATCCATGATCCATGATCACTTATAAACTGTTTACCTATCATAAGAATGATCACATTGCACTACTTCATCGTATTCTGTTTCCTCGATCATCTCAACCTATAGTTTCAAAAATGAAAGAAAATCAAAAATAAGTAAAAATTGCTTTAAAACAACAGGGTGTCCCAAAGATTCCAACATTTTCTAAGTCATAGTTATAGCAGAAATATAATGTTAAGGTTACATTTATTTTATGAAATTCATTTTCTGTAAACATAAGAACGTTTTCTTGCAGAATTTAGCTCTGGTGCGAAAATTTGGTATATGAGAATACTGAATTTGACTTTTTCTGTAATACATTTTGAGGATTTTTGTTCTATTGCAAAAAATCATGAACTTAAATCTTTTTACAAATTAAAAACTCCTAAAACTTACAGAGGAATAGTGGTCGTGAGAATTAATAGGACAACTTTTAGGTTGAAAAACAGAAAAAAATTTTAAGTCATTTGTAATCAATATGTCTACTTTATATGTTGTAACCGATAAATGTAAAAACGGCTGAACCGATCAGGACCAAATTTTTGTTGGTTTATGGATGGTAAGAATTTAAAAAATTGGCTTTATAAAATTTCAATTTATCAAAATTAATAAAAGAGTAATAGTTTTAAAAAAGTTTAAATGATAGACAGATACAATGTAGTTTTGTATTACAGGTGTACTGTATATAGAAACCACTCAGCGGAAACTGCAATACTTCTAGGAATTTTTTTCATCAATAAGATTTCGAAAAAACAAATATTTGTCAAGTAGGTTCTCGGTCAGGTTTCCAATAATATTTAGACTAAAACATTTCTCAAAATCATTTAAAATTAATTTAATTAAGAGCTAAAAGTAGGTCATCTAGAAGATATGTGTTTGGTTTCATTGTATTCCTTAAATCAAGAGAGTACAATATTCAAATGGGTGTTAAGGCGCTTTCCCAAAAGATTTTTCCCAAGTGGCAACTTCCCAAATGTGCAATTTCCCAAGCGCCAACTTCCCAAGTCTGTCTTAGCTGCAGTGCTCGAACCCCCCCAGTCTATTCTAGCCGCAGCGCTAGACCTGTAGCCCATCATAGCAGCAGCATTCAGCCTACATTAAAGCCTGCGGCGCCTTGGAGGGCCTAATCTAACCTTTGGGAAGTTGCCGCTTGAGAAATTGCTACTGTACTGTACTCAATTTAATAAATCAATTTGGCTCGTAAAGCATATAGAGGCCCTCACTTTGACGCAAGTAAAATCCACTCATAATACCCTATTATGAGATGGTAATTTATGAATGAGCAGTCTAACTATGCAAGATGGGTTTACAGTACTTTTAAACTAGATTTGTTGTATATCATTCAATCCAATGTTTGCAAATTCTTTCAGGGCAGTGCATATCTGTACAGTCGTCGTTTTATATATATCAATTCAATGAAGACGACTTAATATTTCAATTTGAATTCTACAAAGAACTGCAGAAGCCCATAAAAATGAGAAGTTATGAACTAATCTTTGTTTTCATGTATTCTTGCAATATTGAACACGCTTGTCATGGAATAAAGCATTGAAAATTAAAAGTCGTCTTCACTGCAGTTATACAAGTGCAGACAAATGGAGAAAACATGCAAAAAGATAAGAAGTCCCTCTTGGCTTTGTTTTACCATTTTCCGTTGATAATAGAAAGAAGTAAAAGAAACAATTCAGAATGTTTGTAAAACCCAACAAGTAAAATAGATGGCAACATAAAATTTGTACACTGTCAGTACAGCTGTATTCTTACGTCACAAGTGTCAACAGTTTTAGGTGTCCGACAAAATTATGAATAATAGGGATAATAAAGTGCTAATCTTCCAGTGAAATTAGTGTATTTGTGTGTTCTTTATTTTCTGTTTTTACACTTCCTTGCTATATTTGACACTTGTGACGTCATGTATAATTGGTCCATTTCTCTGTTGCAACCTATTATACATGATAATCTACTTTTTTTTATAAAGTTTCTAAAATAAGTACCTTGTCAATGCAACGCCTACCATCACTACCAGGGCTTGAACCAGCAACTTGTTGGAAGGATACACTCTACAAAATTAATGTTGAATAATAAAACAAACCAAATAAAAAATAAAAAATTTTATTTTAAAAACAAGAAAAAACTTGAAAATTGACATTGATATGAATTCCGGTAATTGTCTCAAAACCAGGACATGTTCCGAAAACGTGACATGAGTCGAAATCCGGTAATTGTTCCAAAATAGGGATATGTTCGAAAATGAAATCAAGAATCATCAAAAACTAATTCTCACACCTTATTATTAGTCTGAAATTGACATTTATTGTTGCAATATATAGTTATAGCCATTTTTTAATAAAAATATGTTGCAATATTGTTCTACTTGTCTTGGATTTAAAGATATATACTCTTGAAAAAGATAACTTTCAGATTTGGCCCATTTCTAACACTCAGTGTTAGCAATGGGCAAATGGGCCAAGTATTAGTTTTGGAACTAACATCCCCTGAAGTGTATTTAATCTTGTTAAATCACTTGTGAAACAGGTTTGTCTACACTTCACAATTTTAGTATACCATGTTCACCATTGATTATTTAAATGAAGTCTAAAAGTCATCTTACTATATCAGAGTTTTCTGATTTTCGGCGTATAAACTCCACTAGATCAAAATTAGAAATTACCTTAGGATTCGGGGTCGTGTTTGCTCTTTGCCTGAAAAAAAATCCTGAAGTTTTAAAGTTCTGATTTTGCCTTTTTTAAATTGACAGGATATCGAGTTATTTTGGGAAACGTTAAAAAATTGAGACGAATTTACAAAGATAAATTACTTTTGGATCATTTTCTAACTTAATTCATTAATATCAAAAGTCCCGATTACAAAATTTGAGTATCCAATGTACACACTTTTGATTTTCTTCTTAAACCGCTCTTTCTTGGATATTGTAGAGAAAAATCAAAAACCGGTTTTTTTTAAATAAGAAAGTCCCTCCCGTTGCTGTATATTAATCTTAAATGGCGCGCAAAATTTTTAATTTATCGGCTTCTGATACGCGACTCTGATTTTTTAAATTTTATACACTTTTCAGGATACAAGTACAAGATTATGTTAGTAAGATATTGAGGAAAAGAAAGGATCAAGCATCAATCTGAATATCCACCATTCATTCTATAGTTTTTATTTCAGAGCTGATATCTTTAGAATTGTAGATATTGAAATCAATAATTGTTCTTCTCTTTTTATTAATCTCAATATTAATTTAAGCTTTAGTTGGTATCCTGGAAAATGTATAAAATTCGGAGTCAACGATCATAGAAACCGAACGTAAAGCAACAAGGCGTATTTTACGGGACAAAATTTTTTATATCTTTGAGAAATTAAATAATCAGTGTAAAATAAATATCATTTTCATAAAATCCTTTTATTTAAATGGTAAAACGGAATTTCATGAGATCATATAAGCATTATTGGAGGTTTTTTTTTATATTTTTGAGAAATTATATTTAAAAGTAAAACTGTTCATATCATTTTCAAAAAACATTTTTTTAATAGTAAAACGCAATTTTATGTACCTATATAAGCATTTATTTATGATGCCAGTATATAATAAAATCTGGGGGACCTAAACACTGAAGGTTATGTCAAAAAAAGTAAAATTAATGATAATGATAAGGTACAATGTTTTACAAAATAGTTTAATTTCTCAAAAATATAAAAAATATTCTCATGCAAAATACGCCTTGTTACTATTCTTAGCTGTTTCTATACGTACGGTTTCTATTCGTATGGTTTCTATAATGTTTGACTGACAATTTAACAATATTTAAAGAAACTAAATCTGCAAAACCGTTTAAAAGAAAAGTCGCCAAGATCTATTTAGATAGTTATGCAAATTATATCTGTAAAAAAAAAAACTGTGTATCATGTGGATAAACTTAGTCTTTACTATCTTCTTCACCCTCTAGTTCCTAAACATGATTCTAATAACTTATGTTACCCTCTGTTCCAACCCTTACGCTGAGTATCCTCCCTTTTCTTTATACTCCTCCTCCTTACCTTTTACCTGATTTATTATCATTCTTATGTTTAAAATGTACAATGTACATTGTTTTTATCTGCAATTCTCATTCGTTTATAGTGGGCCAACCAATTAAAACAACCTACTCTGGTTAGGCGGGTCCAAACTAGATATTACATTGTGATTTTTTTATTTGTATTATCTCGTGCTTTGTAGTTGAATAAAATATATGAAATATAGCTGTGCATGCAGAATCCTGAACAGCCAATCAGAATCTGGTTTGGGATCTGGTTTGGGATCTAGTTTGTGATCTGGTTTGGGATCTGGTTTGGGATCTGGTTTGGGATCTGGTTTGGGATCTGGTTTGGGATCTGGTTTGGGATAGACAAAGCTGAAAACTTTAGAATTATGGATATCGAGATTAATTTAATCTTAAGTTCGAGGGGTGTTGGAGAAATCAGAACAGCCTAACAGAGAATTCAGGAAATTTTAAATTTTGAGCACCATTAAATGGTCGGATTCTGGTAGGGCTATCCAAAAAGAGAGAAAAGGAGCGAATTATGTAGGAAATTGAAAGTGTCATCATTGGATATTCAGATTATGCAATCAGGATTAGGGGGATTAAATCTAAAGTTCTCAGTTCTGATAAAACAGTATAAAAAAAAACTATTTTAGCTGAGCTTGCATTGCCTGCTCACAATGGACAAACCAGGGCGAGATGCATCCGTTTTTTCTTCTTAAATTTAATCCCGTGTTGGTCCATAATTCAACAACCCTTAGACTTGCGGAATTGGCTATCCATACTTTTTCGCTTGAAAAGCATATGCCAACCAAAAATTATTAAAAAAGCGATTAAGTTATTTTTGATAGATGAAATGGGATCGAAAATCACAGTTCGGTGGAATAAGGACCGAACCGTTAAATCCGCGAGTGCTATTAGGTTCACCTGGATTCTCTTGCCGGGAGCTGAACAGACGGGAACACTGGAGATGGTCTGAACCCAGATAAATCCTGGAAAAAAAATCTTATCAAAATCCGTTTTTGTGATTTTATTTGAATTTTTTTTCCCCAAAAAATGTTTAAGTTGAGTTTTAGTTTTAAAAAGAATGAATTGCTTAATTTTTAGGATTGATATCTTATGAAGTTATGTTTACCTCAGACAATGGTAGGTTATGTTCAGCATGGTTTGGTTCTTGACTATAAAGTTCATTATGTACACCATGTGCTTGTAGCCCATTTGCATTATGGTTATCATGTACACCTTGTAAATCATGTACATCATTATAAGCAGTATTAGCATAGTCCTCCTCGTAAGCTTCGGGTCTAAAAATTTAAACTTACAATAAGTCAAAATTAACGAACTAAATCTTTGCCATAAACTCTAATTTGTATACCCTTGCAACATGTATGTCGTTGACCTTAGATATTATAAACTTTTAATTCTTTAAAGGGACTGTAAAGGAAAAATGAAAGGAGGTATAGGCTGAAAGCTAATCACTTTAGCTCTAAATCGCGACCCATGAAAGTTTTATCTGATGTTCCTGTCTCGAGAAACTGATATAAAACTGTGTTAATACGAAAATTCATATCTGTAAAATTTTGAAAATCTGAAACTTAAATCACGTGACCAGAACTATCACCAATGGCAGAGCAGTATACTGGTCACGTGTCTCGACGCCTGTATCACGTGACCACTTTACTGCACTGTCATTGGTGGAATTTCTGGTCAAGTAATACGGACGTAAAAATAATATTATGAATGAAATCTATTGAAAATAGAAACAACAAATATAAAAGTAAACCTAAATTACAATTTCTCTGGGATATCATCGTTTTCAGATTGGTTGCTTATTTGCTGAATATGATCTGTTTAAACCCACTACTTTTATACAAAATTGTATATATATTAATTTTCGTGTAGATTTGATACAGTTGTATATCAATTTCTCGAGACAGGATCATCAGATATGACTTTCATGTGTCGCGAAGGAGAGCTAAATTGATTAGCTTTCAGCCTATACCCCCTTTCATTTTTCCTTTACTGTCCCTTTAAGATGAATTAGTCTTGTTTTCGTTAAATATCAAAGGTTCACACCACCAGGATATAATATAATATTGGAAAAATAAGTAATGTAAATAAATACATGTGAATCGTTTCATGAATGGGCTAATATTGTTTAAAGAAATTATTTTTGACTAGTGTTAGAGCCTATTTCATTACAAAGAAATAAATACAAAGTCATTTTGTTCAATGTGCTACAAATTTACTCAGCCAAATAATCGGTTAAAAAAGATACCAGATTTTAAGAAACTGTAAGCGTAATTTAAAGCGACCCTCACGGTGCTAATATGGCAACTGCCGATTTACAATAGTACCCATGACACTTTTACTAATCAAGTAGGTAATAAAAATTCATGTTTCTGTTTTATTGCGTGTCCGCTGCGAAAGTGACTTGCGCATTTTTTGCTTATAAGCAGCAATTGAGAAATTATCTGAATTTAAGAATTATCGGTTTCTTCCATATTTATGATCAGATTAAGGTTTCATGGGTACTGTTGTAAATCGAGAATTGCAATCTTTGCATGACACTATAGTTTCAGTAGAAGTAAATATTTCCATTTACTGATAGCGCCGATCGAAGGATTCATAACTCTAATTGGATAATGAGATAGATAGAAAGATAGATGTTACCGCCACAATATTTCTATTGGTTCAGAAAAGACAACAAACACATAACTGAACCCTGATTGGATCAGGCGTTAATGGACTCGGCATACAGAAGAGTCACTTAAAATTATACATACAGTCCCTTCAATAAACCTAGATAGGTAGTCTACTTACATACAGTACTTCAAGATACTTATTAAAATTGGTCCAGAGATGGAATTTAAAGAATTTGAGCTGCGTTTTAAATCCGCCAAAACCCGGTTTAAATTTAAGCGCCGACTTAAATCTTGAAACATTTGATATAATTTTAAGTGGAACTAACTATATTTAAACCGCGGCTTAAATTTGAACCGCCGCTCAAAAACTTTAAATTCGGCCAAAGGGAACCGAATTTGATAAATTTGAGCTAGGTCTATAGAGACGGTTCAATTTACGAATTTTGAATCTTGTTATTATAAATCTGTCCGTGTCCTAAAGATGTAAACTTCACAGATCAGGGAACTAGCGTAATTCATAAAATTTGTTTCCAGGACAATTAAATTATAATTTTTTGCTTTTTAAATTTTTTTCTCGAAATACCTTCGGAATGGAAAAGTGTTGAGCAACGATCTCTCTTTCCTCTCTTCCTCATCCTTCATATATTCTTGTTTTAGGAGAAAAATATGGTAAAAAGTAGTTTGTAAATGCTTTAATTAACAATAGTTCAAAACCTTAGAAACTCGTTGACCAAAGTTAGCTCCAGGGTATTGACGGGCTCGGGTTCGATCTCTAAGGTTGCTCCGTCTTGTCCCATCCCCGCGTAGAACTCTTTCAGTGCTAACCAATGTACACAGCCAACATACTGCAGCTAGGTACAGTATGCTCTAAATTATGAAAATAACATAAAATCTTGTTATTGATAGTTTTTTATTAAGATTTTTCTAATCATGATTACATTTTTAGATTAAAAACCAGTCTTTAACTTAAAAAATATCTATTTTTTGCGTATATTCTTCTGTACATTCAAAATTTCTAATTTCCCGCAAAAATGAAATTATTGGGTGCACACTTGGATAGGACTTTTAAACCTCTTTGGGAATTTCAGCTCCGCTGAATTGGATTTTTAAAAATAAGTTTCTCTTGGGATTTCCTTCATCAAAGAAACCCACATGAATCCCTTATGAATCCCTCCCTTCATTAATTTTAAGAACAGTGGTTAGCGATTAAATTAAATAAAACAACTTTTTTCGATTTTTACAAGATTTTTCAAATTAAAAGTTTAAAATTATTAAAAGAGATTCTTTTTAATTGACATACTTCAAAATCGAAAGTCGTCTTTATTGTTAGGTATATAAGTCGTTTTTATTGTTAGGTATATAAGTCGTCTTTATTGTAAGGTATATAAGACGTCTTTATTGTTAGGTATATAAGTCGTCTTTATTGTTAGGTATATAAGACGTCGACTGTAGTGTATATGGCGGTAGGAAGTCAAGGCACTAAAAAAGAGGTTTTAAAGAAAAAATGCTAATAGTTGACTGAAGTACAGTCTAGGTTTAATTAAACGTGTGTATAAACAGATAGGGCTGGGCATGTTTCAACTTTTTCTAGCCGTTTCGTTAACGATTAGTTCCAACTGTTAAAAAAGAAAAATTTCAGGTAGTCATTAATTTTAAAGGATTCGTTAACGGCAATTACGATTTTTTAAATACTACCTTTAGTTAACGATCTCAATTTTATTAACAAGGTTAATGGAAAATTATCAACATTTGTTAAAGGCTTCAGTCGTTGACGGTCTATTCCATAATTAACAGCGTGAAGCACCGTACAAAAAATTCGTTAACGTTAACCGTTATTTCAGTATTAAGATGCAAAGTGTCCAAAAAATGTAATGATTGTAAAATCGTTAACAGTGAAGCCATTAACGGTCTTTTGTAGTAATAATGGAGTTAACAGTTTGTCAAATCGTTAACCCCACTAGCTGTTAAACTATGTTTGTCTTTTTCCTTTAAATTCAATTTTAAGCAGAAAAAAAATCCCGGCTTTTAAAAAAAAATCTGTTACGTTTTTGTTTACAAACGTTTTTTTTTTCAGAAAAAGCTTATCCATTTCGTTAACGGTTTAAAAATCAACGGTAACAGTAACAGTACCGTTAACAGCTTTGTCTGAACAACATTGAACTAGATGTTTTTTTTCCTTTAAACTGTTTATTTTTATTGCCGTTTATCTGCAAAATTAACTTGCGCATTTGTAGTATTATGAAGTAATAGAGAAATCATTAGATACATTTTTCAGGGGTCCTGTTGTGAATCAGGAATTGCCGTCCTTGCATGGAGTGTCACTTGAAATTACGCTTACAGTCCCTTTAATTAGATTTTATCCCTGCTTACATTATTGTGCATCTATTGTACATGTATTGACTATATACTATACACACTGTTAATTGTAGCATTTTCCAATAAGAGATAACACGCACTGTGTTTGTAGTATCTCCCAGTCAGATTTCATAAAAGTATGCTATCCTTTAATATATAATTTACACTCTCAGTACAGTTGTATTCTGTCGTCACAAGTGTCAATTCAGTTTTTGTATCCGACAAAATTATCAATAATAGTGATAATTTTAGAATAAAGTGCTTTTCTTACAGTAATATAAGTGCAATTGTAAGTGTTCTTTAGTCTCTGTTTTTACACTTTTTTATTAATCTTGGAAAACATGTCAACTAATGTGAGAAAATTTCGTTTCCTTGTTATATTTGACACTTGTGACGTTGTTCATTTCTCTGTTGCCACCTATTGTACTTAATAATCTATTTGCATTTTACTAAGTTGTGTGATTTTCTGGTAAAAATAGAGATACGTAGCATTTGCATGACTTTTTACGATCTCTACCCTGCCTGCACCCCATTTCCACTCTGCATCACATTATGGTTTACATTTAGTAGCAGTAAATTATCTTTAAACATGAAAATATGCTTTTTAGATAAAGTTCAAGTACATAGTACAAAAGGAATATTTAACAATGAAAATTGCACATGTCGACTAAAATAAGAAATAGGTAAAATAGTAAAAAAAGAAAATACATTTTAAAAAGCCAAGATTGATTAAGCTTAAAATTGGAATCAGAAACTACATTATGATCTTATTTTAACACTTTCTCCTAGCTACCTAGCTTTAAATTATGAGAGTCGCCATTTTTAATAATTTTCAAAAAAAAATTCTGTTTGAATTGGTGCAATTTTAAAAATATTAAATCTCGACATTTTTTCAATTTTAACAACCATAATCTTCCCTGGGATCATGTAAGTTGCTTCAAAAATGTTGGGTTCGATCGGTTCAGCCGTTTCTTTCACAAACAAACAAACAGGCAGACAAGCAAAGTATAATATATATGGTTTATGTACATCATACATTTTATATCTTGTCTAGCTAAATTAGCAATAAATCCTAATTACTGACATGTAATGGTTTGTTTGCCATTTGGAGCTCTCCATATAAATATGCAAGTTTAATAATTATCTAAAATTTCGTTTTTCTGGTTTTTTTTAAAAGTGTTTATTTCTGTACGTTTCTCTATTGATTCCTATAATCGAGTAATATGTATGTCACTTTCGTAGAGTAACCGCAAATGAAAATAAACAGATTGAAGAAACAAACTATGGATATAATATTCAAACAAAATATGGATATAATATTCAAACAAAATATGGATATAATATTCAAACAAAATATGGATATAATATTCAAACAAAATATGGATATAATATTCAAACTTGATCTGACATTGCTTTCAAGGGTACTGTTGTACATCGGGCATTGTCATCTCTGCATGGAGTGTCACTTAAAAATACGCGTATAGTCCGTTAACTCCTCTCATTCTTTCTATCTTACTTAAATTGAGATTATTGTCATTAATATAGTCTGGTTGTAATTTAACACAAAATGTTATCGTAAAATTTCCAAAATTGTATGATAGTACTTACAAAATTAATTTGGTAACTAAATACTTTCTATAACCTTTGTATTACAATATCAGAGAAACTTCTGAAGACTCTTAATAAACCAAATTTTTGACTTACCTAAAGCTTTCATATATGATAAGATTGATTTAGTTTACATTTAAAAAATGAGATTTCATACTTTTTAAGGTTTGATTTTGAAACTAATCATACAGAGGGCTGTACTATTGAAGTAATATTGAAGTAATATTGAAGTAATATTAAAAGTAATATTGAAGTAATATTAGAGTAATATTGAAGTACTTTTGAAGTTATATTAAAGTAATATTAAAGTAATATTAAAGTAATATTAAAGTAATATTAAAGTAATATGGAAGTAATATTGAAGTAATATTAAAGTAATATTGAAGTAATATTGAAGTTAAACAGACACTGTAAAAATGTAATTATGAGTAAATGTCAAAAGAGGGTGTTCAGAAACAATAAACAAATACGGGGTATATATATATATATATATATATACCCAACCCAAAGACGTGTTCTACAAGAAGTACAAAACATTGCGAACATTGTTTAAGTTTTTAATATCAAAATTAAGAAAATAATTTTCTTACGTCTGCCCTTAAGATGATCTTCTTAATGTCTAGAAATCGTTAAATTAATCTATGTAAATCGCTCATTACATCGTTTTATGTATAAATCGCTAAATTGCGCGTACGTTGTACATACATTGCAATTCTCCACAGAACTTCATTAAACAAATTGAAAAACAAGTATGTATTGGATAATGTATTGGAAGTAGAAAATATTAATAGAAATAATAATAATTATTATAATGATATTAGTAACGGTTATAATCATATATATGACAATAAAAATAACAATAAGCATCGAATATCAATTGATATTAAAACTTAAAAATAACCAATAATTGTATCCATCTTTGATCAAAGACATCTTGTAAAATAAATAACTTTGATCCCACCTAAGCACAAAGGACACAAAGCACGCCGATGACTTACCGTGCTAGCATTGTTTCTGATCTTATGACCCGGAGTTTGGGGTTATTATTTAGGGTTGCATCTTTTACCAGAGGGGGATACAGACAAACTTTTAAACAGAAAAAAGTAATGATTAAATGAAAACAGAAAAGTTCAAAAAGTACAAAAAGAGAAAACATGATAAAGAGAGAGCAAAAATCAAACTTAATCTAGAAGATAGTGCGTTGCAATTATTAATGTATATGTAAAAGTATATATTTGTATTTATATTAATATTTGTATTTGTAATGTTTTTTGAAGTATATATTTGTATTCATGTTAATATTTGTATTTGTAATGTTTTGGAAGTATATATTTGTATTTATATTAATATTTGTATTTGTAATGTTTTTGGAAGTATATATTTGTATTTATATTATTATTACATATTTGTATTTGTATCTTTATTTGTCTAGTCTTAGTACTTTTTGGTGAATTTGATTTGAAATCGTTCTAAGAAACGTGACACCTTGAATTAACATGAACACAATGAATATATATCTAGTTCTCGGTTAACATAGACTAAACATGATATTTATATTAATTCTGTGTTTTCTTCCAGCTGTTATACAGGTTCACATGATACGGTGATGACCAGAATACTCTGAACTAGGAAGACGACTTTTAGAATCAAGTTACAGCTTTAAAAAGTCGAATGAGCATAAGCTGAAGCAATTGTGCCAAGTAAACAGACCCATTTCGTTAAATTAGTGATTTAATAATCTTAAAACTATTTGCTTTGTAGCAGTACCAAAAGTATTGATTAATGTCGTCTTCCTTTTCCATTGTTTCCCAGTTATTACTGTATTGTACTGAAA